GGTTTGCAGCTGGATGAGCTCGTTGCCCATGAAGCCGAGGTCTTCTTTCATGCCGGCGACGTAGGCATTGTCTGGGTGGTGGTGTTAATGGGGTTTGGCTTTTGTTGCGGCGTGTTTTGGTGGGTCAGGGGTAAGGTAAGGTACGCACTGAGATTGGCTTGGTCAATGTACTTGACCCAGTAGGAGAGAAAGGCGTAGGGGACGATGAGGAGATCGATTTTGTTGATGAATTGCCTTTGTCGAGGGGAGTCGGAAGAGCGGTACCATTGGAGCTGGTACCACTTCTTGCCGGCGCGAATGCCGGTCATGGTGAAGTTTGCTCTAGGTGCCCTGTCCAATGTTGAGAACTTGGGTTGCAGTGTCTAAAATTGGACAAACAGAGAATCCAAGGGGCACAGAAGCATGTCAATAATATCAAAAAAGCAGCAGGTCATGCAGAGTTCATTTATACGCTGAGACACCAACACTACGACGTCCCCCCTGTTACCAGATGGCTGGCGCCCAAGTCTCACCTCCACGGACGCAGCTCTTCCTCGGCGTCACATCACGTCGTCTGCGCCACGCTAGGGCAACCAGAGAAGGTGTTCGGAGATAGGTAGGGTCTAGACCGTGCTGATCTCAAGGGAGCTTCCTGCGCTACGATGGGCCAGTTTGGCTTGAAGAAACCCGTATTAGCGAGATCCTTTGCTGTCTGGCTTATTGCGACAGTAGTTTCCTGTATCACGACTTTCAGGTTCATAATGAGATACGCCAATGGTTCGTTCCTACGGGCCTGTCGCAGCTGCATGGGGGTATCAACTCTCCGGGCCCGGCGTGCGCCAGATGTTAGTAGTGTCGAGCTGACCGAACTGTCGGGTCGGTTTCGGCTCAGACAAGGACTAGGACCACTACCGTCGTGGAATCATGATGAGCATTCGGTAAAATATTTAGACAGCAATACCACCGCAGAGAGGTGCTGCATCTATCTGCTAGCAGTGGCTTGACTGAGTAAACGCAGAACCTCCGAGCAGACCAGACACCTCTCATGGCCATCTCAACTTTCCGCTCTCTTTCTCAACACGCACTCTCCGTTACCAGCTCCATCCACTAGCAAGCTGGGCGCACTAACTCACCAAAGCAGGAAAACCGGTGCAGCCCGGAGTGCCGGCGCGGAAGTGGGTCCCGGGAGCACGACACCATGGCGTGATCGGGGCCCGGTTTCGTGCCACTGGCGCTTTCACCCAACTAGAGATAAATGGAGACCAAAAACGCGTCGTCGGAACTGCCACTATTTCGGCGATTAGAAAATTGCTGATAAGTCGATCCCGATATCGAGCCCGTCACAGATGCTGAGTGGGGGGACTTGCATCGAGGGTGCATCCAGGGGTGCATTCGGCATTGACCCCGCCCATGGCGTTACGGGCTTGGGTTTGACGTGCTCGGCACCCCGTCGGTCGGCAACCGGCATCGCAACGGCTTCGGCACTGTTGTCCCATACCCGAGTCGGATGTCGTTGTACAAATGCGTTCCAACGTCTGGGACACTTGGTGTTTTTGCTTTGTTTTTGCCTTGACCAACACACTTTTGACTTCTTTGACGTCTTGTCATCATCATCCGGGTCTCATCACCATTTCCGTGTAAACAAACCCCTTTTGATGCACGGTCCGCATCATGGCTGAAATCGTTGCCAATCCCGCCGCGTCGGTGGCTGAAAAGCTGGGGGTTTCGTCCATCTCAGAGCAGGAAGTTCCCAGTCCAGCATCCAGTCCGACCACATCGGCCGCCCACAGCCAGACAGAACCGGAATCAGCATCTAGCACAACTTCAGAGGATGCGATTCTTGACCTTGAACCCAGCCAGAAGCCCACCGAAGTCAAGCCAGCAGCGGTTCCAGAGATTGCCTCTGTGATTGCTGAGGCGACCCCTCAAATTGCCCCTGAATCGACGCAAGCGACAGCCCCTGAGGTTACCCCTGAGGTAGCTCCTGAGGTCGCCCTAGAAAGCACATCAGCAGTTCCTGAGATCACTGCAGAGATTCTCGTTGAGGTTGCAGAGATTGCACCTATTCCGGAGGCCCAACCGTCAATTGAGCCCGTGGCCGCCGTTGTCACCCCTGAAGTCCAAATCGCCCCTGAGGTCACGTCAACACCACAAATTGAGACTGCGGCACCAAAAACGGCCCCCAGCATCCACACATCGACCAAAACACCACTTTACCCCGAGTCCAAGTTTGAGCTCATCGACCGTTTCATTGACGACCCGCGGCCATTGCGGGTGGCCGTCATCGGAGGCGGTCTCTCGGGAATTCTGTCGGGCATCCTCCTCCCGGCAAAGGTGCCCAACATCCAGCTCACCATCTACGAGAAAAACAAAGATTTTGGCGGCACATGGCTCGAGAATGTCTACCCTGGCGTCCGCTGCGACATCCCCTCGCACGTGTACCAGTCAACCTTTGAGCAAAAGACAGACTGGAGCGACCAATTTGCCCCTGGCGCTGAGATCCGCGACTACTGGCAAGGTGTCGCCACCAAGTACAACGTGCACCAATACGCCCGCTTCGGCCACCGCATCGAGGACCTCACCTGGGACAACGCCGACTCGGTCTGGAAAGTGACCCTCACCGACGTCGACACGGGCGAGACCACAGTCGAAGTCCAGGACTTTGTGCTGACCGCCATCGGCCGCTTCAACGCCTGGAAGCTCCCCGACTACCCCGGCATCAACGACTACAAGGGCGTCCTCCGGCACGCCTCGCACTACGATCCGACCTTCGACCCCACCGGCAAAACCGTCGCCGTCATCGGCAACGGCGCCAGCGGCATCCAGCTCGTCGCTAACCTCCAAAAGACCGTCTCCCACCTCGACCACTACGCCCGCAACCGCACCTGGATCGCCGGCTCCTGGGCCGGCGACGAACGCACCCTCGAGCCCCAACCCTACACCCCCGAGCAAAAGTCCCTCTTCGCCTCTGACCCCGCCGCCTACCTCGCCTTCCGCAAGGACCTCGAAGACAAGTACTGGCGGCGCTTCAGCGCCTTCTTCCGCGGCTCGCCCGAGAACGCCGCCCTGCGCGAGCGCTTCACGGAAATCATGCGCACGCGCCTCGCCAAGAAACCCGAGCTCCTCGAGCACATCGTCCCGGACTTCTCGCCCAACTGCCGCCGCCTCACGCCCGGCCCGGGCTACCTCGAAGCCATCTCCGAAGACAACGTGTCCTACATCCGCACTCCCATCTCCCATTTTACGTCTACCGGCATCGTCACCACCGACGGCACCGCCCGCAACGTCGACGCCGTCTTCTGCGCCACCGGCGCAAACGTCAACATGCTCACCCCCTTCTCCATCCACGGCCCCTCCGGCCTCGACCTGCGCACCCTCTGGGACCCCTCCTCGCCTCACCCCGCCTCGCGGGGCTTCCCCTACTCCTACCTCGGCCAAGCCACGCCGGGGTACCCCAACCTCTTCTTCATCCACGGGCCGCACGGCACCGGACCCTCCGGCACCGTCCCGCACTCGGTCGAAAACCAACTCACGCTCTACGCCAAGTTCCTGCGCAAGGTCGCCCGCGAGGGCATCAGGACGGTATCACCCTCTGCACAGGCAGCCGATGAATTCATAGCGTACTCCGACGCCTTCTTCAACTCGACGGTCCTGTCGGATCACTGCAGCTCGTGGTACAACGGGGGTAAGCCCGGGGGACGGATCCATGGGCTTTGGCCCGGGAGTGCGGGACACGTCACGGCGGTGAGGAGGGAGCCGAGGTGGGAGGATTGGGAGTATACGTATTTGGGCGTACAGGGGAATCGGTTTGCGTGGTATTTGGGGAATGGGTGGACGCGGAAGGAAGCGGATAGGGAGAGTGATATGACGAATTATTTGAGGAAGCCGGGGGAGAGGGTGGAGTTGAGGGATTTGCATGAGAGTTGGTGGGAGTTGCCGGGGGTTAGAGAATGATTTGGTGTACGTTCTATCTTTGTCAGGTTGGGTTCAGGGGTAATAAATTGAGGGCATTCGCGTTTTCGTGTTGAAATTCGTTTGATTGTGGTTTGTGTTGAATTGTGATCGAGTGTTGTCGTGAAGTGGAACAACTTTGTTATCATGATTCAGGGGGCGTTCTCATTCAAGTTGTAGTTGCATTGCATTTTGAGTTGGTATCGAAGTTTCTGTCCACTTTGACCATGTCTTTCAAAAACACAATCCACATGTTTATCTGACGCTGGATCACATCAAATCTTTTGCAATTTTGAGCATGTCATTGAAACACTGTTCTTCCAGAGCACATCTTCACTCCATGCCGAACTCCCGCCCACTCCCATCACACCCAACCCTTCCAGCCCCATCCTCTTCTTGCATTGCCAACCCTAAATCTGATGACAACGTCCATCCTCCACATTCGCCATTGTAGCCCCGGCTCACAACCCCCTCCACCAATCACACCCCCCAATCCCTCCACTGACGCCATGCACGCCACGGAAACGCCACCAAGCTTGTTCCCCTTGGCACCACGCCTTTCCCCACGATCAGATAACCGCTGCAACGTCCGATGCGGCCCTCCTATTCTAGTCTACTGCGTAATGTGGAGATAAGACATTCACATGGGAGTAAAACCCGGAGGATTCGTGTCTGCATGCATGGCATGCGTGGTGAAGGGGTTGCATCAGATGGGATATCCGATCTGCCGGGTTGGCGTGTTTTGTGGGGAATGGGGGGATTGCGTGATGCTGGGGGGTTTGTAACATGTGATAGGTCTTGGCAATAGGATTCATTTGTTTTTGTGTGGGAGGGATGTTTTGGGATTTTGGGGGAGTGGTATGCAGGAGAAAAGGAGAAGAAAATAGCAGTCAGGAGGGTTGCCGGGGAGGACGGATACACGATTTGTTTACACGGTCTAGGCGCTACCCCTTTTTGTCAGCAGCCACCAAGTGTCAGCTAAAAAAAAAATTGGTAAGATTTGGGATGCCCTAGGGACTACATTTAACAGAAAGACAAAAAGATGATGGACAAGAATGACCTTCTGAAGACTCGGGAACGAGGAATCGAGCCCCGGGCTGCTGAGTGAGTCAGCGATGTTAGCCACTACACCATACCCGATTGTTGTTGTTGATGCCATGAAGCTTCCAATTGCTCAAGAGTTGGCTGATATAATCCTCTCTGGGGACTTGAAACATGAACAGACAGAACTCCCTTCGATCTCTTGAGGTTGGGCGAGCAAGTGACCGCTGAATTTTCCAATGCATACATTGCGCAGAAATATGGACTTCACAGGCTACCTGACATACAGCATGGACAAAAGATTTGATGTTTAATTCTTACTCAGGCAGCCGTTTTCTGCGAGGCTTCCCACCTCTCTTCGAACTCTCTCAGTTTTGTGTGTGCAGCGGCGACTCTGTTACTCTTCGGAACCGATCCCCGTCCCATTGCCATTACCTCAACTGATGTTGGCTTCTTTCTCAGGTATCGCTCAAGGCCGGCTGGCAGCATCGCATACTCTGCTGCAGAGCTGTATGCGTGGTTCAGTTAGAGCTTGGTCTGCTATTTGGGGCGGTGTGGCGTCCAGTCATAGCGCCGCGTCCCTAGACGAAAGGAGTTGCAAGGGCGGAACTTACCGGTTTTCATGCCAACTAGACAGGCCGAGATGGGTTCAACATCGTGGAGGAGACGGTGCGAAGAGAAGCCGTCGCTAATGTGGGAGATCTTATTGCCCAAGCTTTTCGGGAGTTCCGCTCTCGGTCCACACCCACTGCCCACCCGCGGGCAACAACAGAACAAAACTAAGAACAACGGGAAGGGCAGACAGAACCTCAATCACGCGTGGCTGCCAATGACGAGGTTGCATTTACGGAATGGGAGCAGAGCATCTTGAACATGGATCCATTCACCATGTTGGGGGACCCAGAACTGGGAGATGACGGGGATTGGTTGATGGAGAATCTCTCACTGCCAGCCGGGGATCCCGACCATGCCAAGAAGCCTTCAGACTCAGGCTACGAATCTGGCAGGCCGGAGGCCCAGAGATGAGCAGAAGGCCATCATTGATGATGGCGTACATTGACAGCATATCGCCTTCTCGAACGAAAGGGTTGCAAGAGTTGAATCTGCACCCCTCCTCGCCTTGCTGCGCTAAAGCCCTCCTCCTCGAAGGGTGCACCATCCTCTAATTAGCAGCTGTTTCCGATTTACGAAGGCCCCGTTTTTGGCGCCCAGAATCCAGAACAGCGGGGCGGCGAGGGAGCTCAGTCAGCACCATCCGTCTGCTTGGTGCGAGCTGCATCATCTTCAGAAGCTGACTCGCCGGTATGTGCTTGGGTTGCATTGCCAAGGGGGCTTCTAAATAGTTGGGCACAGCTTAAGCTGCCAGCCGTGCCGTGGTTTAAAAGGAGACGCATCGCCAGCCGACATTCAACTCTCGACTTCCCACAGGTAGCAGATAGGCCCAAGGTACATCATCTTCCGACAGTCGCAAATAGTCCACAACCCTTGGAACAGCCATGGCATCCCAGCAACCGCCCTCTGTCCTCCCCGAGACAGCAGCTGACGACCCGCGCCGTCTGCTCTACCAGTCCTACATCGACTACTGCAACGCCCACAACTTTGAGGCCATGGAAAAGTTCTACACAACACCAACCCTCAACATCAACGACGAGCCCTGGCCGACCCCGAAAGTTACCGCGCAGTTCAAGCCACTTGTGGAAGGCTTCCCGGACTGGAAGTGGGAGATTCGCCACTTTGCAATCGATGGCGATTACTTGTCGCTGCATTTCCGCGTATCGGGCACCCATCTTGGCACTTTCCAGGGCATTGCGCCGACAGGACGAAGGGTTGCAACGACGCAGTTTACGCTGTATCATCTTGTTGACGGGAAATACGCTGATGTTTGGGATATGACGGATATGGAGGCTGTGATGAAGCAAATTCAGTAGGCTGGAGACAAGCAGCGAGGCGGAAAAATGTTACATAAACCTCTTTATATTCTGCTTCGAGATTGCCGCAGGTGCCAATCACAGTTCAACCAGTTCTTCTCAGCGAACAGCACGTCAATGTCAACCCGCTCGACTGGGGTGCGTGGCGTCCAGTCATGATGGAAAAGCAGTCGCGGGACCCGGAACTTACCGCTGCCCAAGCAACTCGTGAGTTCTCCTGCAGGAAGTGCGGGGCGCGACACGAAAATTGCTCCCTGCTCCTTCCCTGTCATTAGGCTTTCGCGTCTAACGTTTCCCCACGACACTACAGCGAACTCATCGAACATCAAAATATCGCCTCGAAGCTTTATGCGCCTTATCTTTGTGGTGTAATCACTTTCCCCCGTTGAACACGCTATACTTCGAGAGGGCTCCTGAGAAAGCTCAGCAAGTATCCGAGCGGCGGGCTCGGGTGCCTTGGTGCCTCACATTTACCGTTGAACCGCTTCATCACCACACTCGGTCAAGACCAGAAGCGACGCACAATGTGTAAGCTACTGCCCAGGGAAGATTATTGGACTCAAAAAACTGTACTTCGTTCTGATCCCCAGTTGCGCCGAATTTTAGTCAACGTTTCGGTCAGAAAGACCTTCCGTAGGGTTGCGACGCCGACGTCGAGACCCGAACGTCACTACAATGGCCTCGACCCCTTTCTTACTGGCCGGGGCTCAATGGAAGATACGCCATTGCTAGGAGGTCACCATTACCCACCAGAAGAAACATTTGCATCATCACTGCTCCGCCGGCTTGGCACTTGTCTGACCTTGCCTCGCTGGTCTCACGGCCCAGCGGTCCGTCGCTGGACTTGGAAGTTCTTGTATGCTGTTCGCTTCCAGACATTGTTGATTTGGCGGAGTATGCAACCCCCTAACCCTTTCGCGTACAAATATGAGGGCTAACCGTTGCGTCCTAGGTTCCCCAAACACTTTCTTGTTGGTCTATACCCCCATTGGCATTGCGGCCGGCTGGCAGCAGTGGAAACCCGGGTGGGTAGCCTTCTTAAACGCCATGTCGCTCATCCCCATCATTGACCTCCACGTCATCGCCGCGGAGGAGTTTGCCGCTGAGTGTTTCACTCGCAGCAAGGCTGTTGGCGGGCTGTTCTTCGCCATTGCTGGGAGCAGTGCGAGACCGATAGTAAGCCTGACTTTCTCAGTTGCATCCATACGACGTCGCCGTTTGACAGTGTACCTAGCTGACCTTCGCGATAGCTCCGCGTGCTCGCGCTGCTCCGAGGCGAAACAAAAATAGCCAGAACATCAGGTCTGGGGACCATTCTTTTGAGCCTGCTTCTGACACCTGGCCTTGCCTTCCTTTTTGGATTCTACGCAAACCCGCGGGATCAGTATGGCCGTTCAACGGAACTCCAGTTTCTGAGCGAAGCCGCTGAAGTTACTATTTCTCAGCTAGTGCCAGCCACTTTCCTCCTTCTTGCACCGTCACTCGTACGTACCTGCTATGTTTCCAACCGTCCATGAAGCAGCTCGAGCAGAAGAATCGCTAATGGCCCCAGCTTCAATTTTCAAGGCAGGCAGACACAGCTCGGGATCCCAAGCTTGACATTTTCGTCCACGCAGTATCCCCCATTGCATTACTTGCCCTTTTTGGCCTGGTGCTCAACTTCCAACTACGGACCCATTCCCACATGTTTTCCACAGGCGACGAGCATGAGATGCTTTGCGAGGCAGGCGCGGCCGAAGATGAAGTCGATGATATCCCAGACCGCTTAACACCACTGTCTGCGGCTACCACACTGGTCATTACTACATTTTTGATCACAGTCTGCGGAGACTTCATGGTGGCATCCCTTGGAGAGAACCAGGCTACAGAAACTGTTGCCGGAACAGTGATACTCCCCATTGTCACCGGAGGAGCAGATATTCTCCGCTCAGTTATGGCAGCTGTGCGGGGGAACACAACTCTAGTAAGTTAAACTTGTTGATTCATTTCGCTCAAACCACGACCCGTTGACACAGCTCAGGCTATCCTTTTCAGCCTGAGCTCGGCGCTCCAGGTATCGGTTCTCGACACGCCTCTTCTTGGGATTGCCAGCTTCATAACAAAGAAAAGCAACCCATTCGAGCTTGTCTTTACAATTGGTAAGATCTGGCTACTTTATCTGTGTGTCGCATATTACTCCGCTGACAAACCGCTGCGAAGAGGAGGCAGCAGCCATCACCATGACCCTTATTGCCTCACTGTCGATACTGCAGCGAGGTAAGTCCAACTACATCGACGGTCTCATGGTATGTCCAGTTCCCAACATGCGCATTCCGCGATGAATGTTTAAAAGTTAATGACAATTTCATAGTTAACTTGCCTCTACGTATTTATGGTTTTGATGTTATGCTACACCTAGACAGATTTGGTATCTCGGAGATGGACGTAGGGAAAAGACAAAGAATCGACGCAGGCAGAGAATCGACGGAAGACATGCAAAACTGCAGTCAGAAATGATGTGTCGCCTGACTGCGAGCTCTCTTCTGGCTAGCTGACTATCTGCACGATATCGTCATCCGCCTTGGTCGCCCCAAATAATGATTGGCTCTAAAGTTCCCAGGTCCTTCCCCGCATTCCAACAATGCCGGTGTTAGGACCGAACCCCGCCGCCAGGCAGAAGACCTCAATCTCAACTTTTCGGTCGGGCCTGCCGGAGAACAGCACCGATATCCCGAAATGCGGTTCATAGACACGGAATCCCTGGAACTGGTGGAATCGGCGGACTATGAACAGCAACGATACGCCATCTTATCCCACAGATGGGAGGCCGACGAAGTGTCCTTTGACGACTTTCAGGTCCCGTCCAAGCGTGCAGACCAAGCTGGATTCAAGAAGATCCAGTTTGCATGCGAGCAGGCTCTGACGGACGGCTACCGTCTTGCCTGGGTCGACACATGCTGTATCGACAAGTCAAGCAGTGCTGAACTCAGTGAGGCCATCAACTCCATGTTCAATTGGTATCAGGGGGCGGGCGTCTGTTACGCATACCTCTCCGATGTCGAAGATGTCGGCGTGAGGTTTGACGGCAGCAAGTGGTTCGAGCGCGGATGGACCCTGCAGGAACTGATCGCGCCTTCGAATGTTGTGTTCTACTCATCCAACTGGGAAAAGCTGGGAGAAAAGGCTACCATG